TCTCTATGGTGTTTATGAATCTGCCAGCTTTGATTCGACCAGAATTCAAAACATCCAGATTAATAAAACTAGTTCCAATGCCATCTTAGTTCAGTTCTCAAGATCTCACTGAGTTCACCGCATGCTAAGCGAAGTATCGGACCGGCCATCTGTACTTCCCTTTTAAAGCTGAGAACCACCAAGCTGGAAAAATCTGTTGTTTTTACCAACCAAGCAATGGTTCCTTTCAGAATAAAAGCTGAACTCGCTGACCCAAGGAGGGTCCCCTTTTGACGCTGTGAACCACCTGTCGCTTTTTAACTGGAGACAATCCAAGGACTAGTTTGTCGTGCGGTGAAGCTGTACCACTGGCTCCAGTATCGAAAGGAAGGTCCATGGACCTGACATTCTGGATCCATCATTGTAGGTCTCCCTGAGGTTATGTGTGGATGCGACAAAATGGCGTCTCATGTGTTTATGACTACTCCGGTCAAACTCTGATCAGTTAGAAGCAAAACATCATCCCACTCAGACTTGCTTCTCTGGATACGCGAGTTCTGAATAACACTCATTCACACACACCATCCATCTCACACGTCCTTCATACCAGCTACATCCATCATTAGAGAGTTAGTATTGTTAAATTGTTTAAAATTATTTAGTAATAAATCATCTTAAACGTTTGAAGTACTCGCTCTCTTCTCTTGCCTCTCAGTTAATACAAAGTGTTATCTAATCCCTACATTAAAAAGTTCCAATCTTCTCATTAAATAACCCAAATAACCCAGTCCGTAAGATGGATTTCATACTCGATATGAAATCTTAACGTCTCACGGTCCTTAATTAAATGTAAATTATTATCATTACACACTGGTGAGCCATTGCCCGATATTTGCAAATTTTTGGACACTTTGTGCTAAGTCTGAGACGTATTTAAACAGTATTTAAAACACTTCTAATTAAAAATGTGATGTTTCTGGTTGAAAACGAGGCGATCTCGTAATCCGCCACTAGAGAGCAGCATCTCCATTTAAAGCAAATGGGGGTTGGCATCAGTCATCCTCCACAGGACGCGCTGTTTCATCTCAAATCATCCTAAGCCTGACGTGGCAATCGACAGCGTCCTCACAGTGACCATCTTACTTCGGACGCTAACCGTTCTCTAGCTGAGGGTGAGTGCACGGCTCAAATAAAAATACTTATAACTCGATGAAATATTAACGGATTTACAAACGGTTTGCCTTATTACAAACCGTATGATACATAGACTTGACGCGGGATATTTACACATGTTGAAATTACCACTTTTACTTTTGAAACACGACATACTTGTGAACAATGTGTCCCGGTGTTCTGGGAATTTCTCCTACCCTAAACCGTCCTACCTGTTGTTCCTGAGCATGTGTACGCATGCGCACAACACAAAAAGGGAATACTACTCTGATGTCATATTTGCAGGAAAAAAGGTAAGTAGTAAGTAGTAGTACTTAGAGACCACAGTCAATATTTTTATAGGGTTCGTATGGTTCAACGAAACTACGTAAACCTAATGTTTGTCTAAATGGCTGTCTTGGTGGATGTTTTAGTGTTTATTAGCTGTCTAACGGAAACCGATGTTTTCCACCCGGTTCTCCCCAGCGGCAGCTCTGCACATCTCAGTTCGCAGCGGCGCTTGTCTGCTGCACGGCTGCCGGCTTGTGGAGCTCTCGGGAGACCTCTGTTTTCCACCCGGTTTTACCCAGCGGTCAGCCCGGCGTATCTCTGACTCAGAAGCTCTGGTGTTGTGCACGGTTAACTCCGGTGTAGCTAGGTTGCTACCTCCGTTAGCTTAGCTCCCACCTCCGTGTTAGCTTTGGGTTAGCTTCAGGTTAGCTTGTAGCTAGTTCGACCGGGTGTCGTCAGTTGATCCCAGCCTTACAGCCCCACCCTCAGCTCCACCTCTCTTCCCTTTTGTGGAATTGTCTGGGCTTGATGGAACCTGTGACACGGTCAAAATGGAGGTGGTGGCCACCTCCCATTTCTCCTCAAAAACGTGTTATTGGAGCCTATGGAAATGAATTGTCCAGTATATATGTTGATGGGCCAGCTCCTTTGAGGGAATCTTAAGGCATTCCCAGGCCAGCCGTGCGAGACAGTCTCTCCAGCGTGTCCTGGGTCTTCCTTTGGGTCTCCTCCCAGTTGGACTTACCTGGAAAACCTCACCAGGGAGGGATCCAGGAGGCATCCTAACTAGATGCCCGAACCACCTTAACTGGCTCCTCTCAATGTGGAGGAGCAGTGGGTCTACTCAGAGCCCATCCCAGATGTCAGAGCTTCTGACCCCATCTCTATGAGAGAGCCTAGCCACCCAACAGAGAAAACCTATTTTGGCCGCTTGTATCCATGATGTCATCCTTCTGGTCACTACCCCAAAGCTCATGACCATAGGTGAGGGTAGGAACGTAGATCGACCGGTAAATCGAGAGCTTTGCCTTCTGGTTCAGCCGCGCCCACATCACTGCAGACGCAGCACCAATCCACCTATCGATCTCCTGATACAAAGTAAGATGGATATTATTATTATTATTACACATCCTGTTAAGATGCAGTTGTTCCCAGTAAATGTGTTTTATTTTGACAGCTGCTTATAGGTGGAAGCAGTGATTACGTAATTCTTGGACTTTTCTTGTCAAATTTTGAAAATTAAATGTTGAACTAAAGGAAACCCACGTACGGCTCCTGCAGATAAGATGACTTTGATTTTATCATGTGATTTAGTGGGGTTGTTGGCAACATGCAGGTCTTAAGAGTTGCTGAAAAGTTTGGTTAAAATCTGCCTGACTTTATCTGACATTGATTTCCAGTGTTTTACAAAAAAGTTAAGGTTGTTCATGTTCAAGATGAAGGTGGCCATTGCTAATGATTAAAACAAGATGGAAGTTGTTGTAGTACTCTTTTGAGCCAGGAGGGGGCGAGCTAATACTATGATGGACAAGTGCTTGAGTCAGTCCCAAACTAAAAAAGGTGGGAGGGCGTCAGATTTCAGTCAAACAACCAAAAGCAGAGTCAGTTATAGATTCAGTTATGTTTTAATTAGTATAAAATTAAAATGGATTATAATGCTCTGACTTGCTCTGCTGGATTTGCACAAAGAGCTTTGGGACTCATAGTAAAGCGATAGGTTGAGTGTGTACCCTGATTTTTATTTCCTTTTCATGCAGATGTGGCAAAAAAGGGAAAACGTTTGTATCCATGAGCCATTGATGAGTCATGGACCACTGCTGACACAGGGTATGACTCAACAACTTTGAGCTTTGTGTGTATCACATCCCCTTTCAGAGCACAAAATCCCAAATCTGAACTAGAGCAGGTGAGTGAGATTGAGTCTACCTTCACTATCTCTTGAAAATGCCAGGATTGTTGGATCTTTTTCCAGGAGGAAAATCCGACCCATCTGCTGTGTTGCAGTCAGAACTGAGTCAAAGATCAGGATGATGATGATCACCAGGAACAGAAACAGACAACAAGAAAGGCCGATAGAAAGAAAACCTGGCTTTTAGGAAGCTGCATACGCTACACTCAGAACACACGATAAAAACAACAGTTGGGAACTGATTAAAGACCTGAACCCTGTCTCTGATAGTAGTCAGGGAAAGGGGAAAGAACAGAGGGAGGTGTTTCAGAGAAGGATGAAGTGTGGGAAACAGATAAGATCTTCTCACCAGCTCACACACCTAAAGCGTCAGCATTCCTAATCAGTCCTGTTTGATGCCTTAAAGAGTCCACGTGAGCTCAGAATGAGCAATAAAGCTCAAACATCACAACAGTGAAACTGGATTCAGCTCATTGATGCGGACTTTCTGTTTAAATTTAAATTAGACATCACAACAAGGAGTCTAAAGTTAGACGTTTCTCTTTCTAAACTAAAAAAATGGCATATTTTGAGCCTCATCAGCAAAAATTTTATAAAAATAACAGCAAGTCCAAAACAGTCATCTCATTTTGTTTTGTGACTCCGCAGTTTTGTGAAATCGTTGGATCTCACTGACCTCATGTTAGTTTTGTGACTTTAACTAAACTGTTCAGCGACAAACTCTGAGCTCAAGAGAAACTTCGTCTAAACTAGATCAAGATTTTACATAAATGAAAGAAAATTAATTGCTACTGCATTTTTCAAGGGTGGATTAGATCCAGGGGGACAATAAAGAACATGCAAACAGAAGAGCATCTTCACCATCATGAGTTGTTTCCAGGTTTTTGCTGTTGGAGATTTTCACAACAAATCCTGCTTACTACCTCCTTAGGCATGCAAAAATCCAGCTTTGTGTTAGGAAACACGTTACAAAGGAGAAGCAGCAGCATATTTAACATCAAAGTGTCACGTTGAGAGCAGGAGGTTTGGACCCAAAATGCATAAATCCAGACAACTCAGGCAGGAGCGGTTTAAAAAATGAAAAAAATCATTTTATTAGGATGATGAGTTACTTCCAAGGGCAGAAAGCCAAGCCAAAAATCTAGGAAAACTGAATTACAAACAAATCTGATTTATGAGAAAGGACCTGGAGTCATTAGAGGAGGGCAGAACAATGCTGACAAAGACAATGGACCCACAACCACTGAGGGACAAGACGGGGTTTTTAACAGGAGCAATCAGGGGAACAGGTGACAGGTGTGAGGAGTGAGGTCTGGAGGAGAGACAGGTGCCTTTAATAAACTAAATGGGGAAAAAACTTAAGCAGAGGGGAGATAAACCATAATCTATAAAACACTAAATAACTAAACCTAAAGACTAAGGGCAAAGATAAACAACTAATGACAAGAGGAGTGAGGAGGACTAATACAAACCAATAAGAACGACGGGAGTGACTAGGAGGAAACATGAGGGAAGACAAGAGGGAGCTGGAGAACACAAGGAGACACATGAGGGGAATGCAGAAGACAAACAGGAGGGGGCTGGGGACCAAGGGGACACAGAACATGACACAAAGCTTGCATGGAAATGTCAGGACAATGGATCAAAGAGGAAAAAAGACCCTAAAAAGTTGTAATAAACATATTTATTCGTTTTTTATTGCAAAATTGGTAAAAAGATTTAAAAAAAATAACATTGAAAGGTTATTCAGGCAGACTCCAGCTGCCAAAAGATGAAGCTAACACAGAAGTGACCAAAATTAAATTACAGTTCCCCCCCTCAGCCACTAGGGGCTGGCTCCAGAAAGGAGCAACTTCCCATTGACTCCCTTGTAAAAAGTGCCAAAATCACAGCAAAAATAAACATGTTTACAGCCTGGTTCAAAAACACTGTTTAGGTTTAATAGGTCAAGTTTACTGCCATGACAACTCCCGAAGTGTGTGTGTGTGTGTGTGTGTGTGTGTGTGTGTGTGTGTGTGTGTGTGTGTGTGTGTGTGTGTGTGTGTGTGTGTGTGTGTGTGTGTGTGTGTGCTTTAGTAACTCATCTGTTAATGAAAGCTTGTCCTTTTGATTGACAGGTAGCAGATGAGCTGCCGGCGCCAACAGCTTTCCTCCTGCTCTAGTGTAGGCCTCGGCCTCACATAAGTATTACAGCCTAGAAGGCAGAGGATTTAGCATCCGCCAACCTATGTTGGCTTCAATTAGCTCAGCTGGCATGTAGCTACGGCTTGGAGTTTGATGGGTGTCAGTCACCTACTCCCACCCTTACAGCCCCACTCTCAGCTTCCTTTTTGTTTCCATTTTCCAAGAGTGATGATACGCATGACCTGGCCAAGATGGTTTTGGAAACCACCTGCTGGACTTCAGTTCAGCTCTTTAAAAACCTACGGATGACGACGCAGAGGGTACCTCCAATACAGCATGTTCAGTTTTATGATCATTTGTTTACAACTATAAATAAATGTTGAATAAACTTTGCTGCTATGACCTTTCACAAACCAAACACGTTCATAAACCTGGACAGATGGTTTACAGTACTCAGATTTTCAGTACTTCAACTAGAATATTCAAATTCTCTAAAGCAGGAAGCTTAAAGGGCAGGTCAAGCGTGCCTCAGGGTCCTTCTCCACCCACGTATCAATTTTAAAAACTGCAACATTAGTAGGCGTTGCCTGGCGGACCGAGAGGGCGGAGCCGCGGTTGTGACGAAGACGGATGGGAAACCCATTGTCCATATATGTCTGTCGATGGTCCATCCTCAGAGTCACAAGGGTGCAGAACAAATCCCGACCTCAAACAGCAGTGTGATGTGAAGGTGAATCACAAGACAATGAATGGTTGGGCCAAACTGGTCATTTACTCACAACCTGGTTCAGTTTCTTCCTGCAAACAGGGAAGAAACGTTCTATAAACCGGTTTTATTATGTAAGATCTAAATCTGCAGCCATTTCACAGTATTTGAGTCACTTTCATTTAGAAACATCAAAACTGAGTGGGAATGAAGAACTTCTGACTACAGTCTATCTTTGAACAATTGTTCACACTTACGCCAAGTTTCCTTAAAACCAAGTGATGCATATTTATGAGGAAGTCAGTACTTCACACCTCATTATTTTTCTGCAGCTCTATTCTCATTAATGATAAGATCATTTTATATTTAACCAGAATGGTAAAATGAATAAACAGAACAAAAAAAAGCTATAAATGCACTTCTCTTTGCATCATAACTATTTATATTCCACAAATTAAGCATTAAATTATGTACATTATATATTTAAGCAATAAACAATCCATATGCACTGTTCTGGAAACATTTTTTAGAATAAATACAACATGGTGCCTATTTAGACATGAAAAAATGTACTTTTCTCGTCAGCTCTTGAATCCTCGTGTCCTTTAACTGCACCAGACGCTCCAGCTTCTCTACTTTGGTCTGCAGGATCTGCACACAAAGATACAAAATATTGAAAATGTCCTTTAAAAAGCACTCATCGTAAAAGGAGAATTGTGAGTGTCGTAATTCAGCTTTTATATGCATCCAGATGTGGAAAAAACAAGAAGAAAAAGAAAATGTTCATATCCGGTGAGCTACGAGTGAGTCATGGACCACTACTGACAGGGTGTGACACAACAGGAATTAGTGTTTATATCACATTTTCCCCTTGCAGAGCACAAAAAATGACAAAAATCAAAGTAGAGCAGGTACTTGAGTCAGATTTACCTTCACAATCTCCTGAAAATTCAGGATTGTTTGATCTTTTTCCAGGAGGAATTGCCGGAGAATCATAGGATCCTTGACTTTGTAACAAGACTCCACAACAAGATCCTGGTTCCTTTGCAACGGCAATAAAATGTTTTATTAAAATCTCAAACATCGTTAAACAATTTATTTATGTCAAAAATAAACCTAACATACATGGTTCTCTGTATATTCTCCTCATCAACTTTCATCTGTGCCAGCTGGGCCAGAATTCTTGTTTCAGCCAGATGAATATCTAGAAAAACAAACCAGAAAAAGAACTAGTGTGAAATCTCTCCAACTTTAGAAATGGCAAACATCAAAACGAACCAGTCTCCTCTGCTGTGGGCAGAACGAAGTTAAAGATCAGGATGACGATGATCAGGAACAGAAACAGACAAGTAAGAAAATCTGCAAAAGCTGCATTCAGCTCAGAACACATGATAAAAACAACAGTTGGGAATGGATAAAAGACCTGAACCCTGTCTCTGATAGTGGTCGGGGACAGACAGGAGGAAAGAACAGAGGGAGGTGTTTCAGAGAAGGATGAAGTGTGGGAAACAGATAAGAACATTTCACCAGCTCACACCCCTAAAGCGTCAGCATTCCTAATCAGTCCTGTTTGATGCCTTGGAGTCCATAATCTCAGGATAAGCAAGAAAAGTCCGAACACCAAAACAGTGAAACAGGATTCTGCTCAGTTATGCTGATTTTGTGTTTAATAGATCATAAGAAAATTAGACATCACAACAAAATGTCTAAAGTTTGACATTTTTCTTTCAAAACTAAAAAAAGACATATTTTGGGCCCCATCAGCAAAGATTTCTAAAAAAAACCTCAAACAGAAATTTCAAACACAATCATCACATTTTGTTTTCATTCAGCAGTTTTACTTTATGAAATCCACTTGATCTCACCGACCTCATGTTAGTTTTGTGACTTCAACTAAATGTTTATTATTGTTCTGTGATGATCTCTGAGGTCAAGAGAAACTCTAAACACGGCACCGTGTAAATGAGATCATCAACATTTTTGATCAAAGAAAGAAAATCCATTTTCTGCTGCATTTCCTTTCAGCTGGATCGAGGACAGAAATAAAAAATCAAGCTGACTTTTGTTTACAATAAAACCGAAGAGCAACTTCACCTTCATGAGTCAGTTCCAGGTTTCTGGTGTCCAACACTTCCAAACTCTAAATCAAAAAGAGAAAATTATGAAACAATCTGGCAGTTAGACAAGGACAAATGATATACTGTGTAAAGAATTCAAAAATCGAATGTACACACTAGTTTTTTACTTTCGATGTCAGCTAGTTTTTTTTCTATTTTCTCCCTGAGAGTTTTCAGAACTGGCTCGATCGCACCAGGAGAGCTCAACACAATCCTGCTCAACATTCCCTCAGGGACATGAAAATCCAGCTTTGGAAACACTTTCCTGTCCAGATAGGAAAAACAGGTTTATGACAAACAAAAAATAGGAAATTTAGGTGGTTTACTGATGGGCTCCACGCTACAGCTGTTTACAGTGAAGGGTCATAGCTGTCTGGGTGCTGGATCAGTGATCAATGTGAGGCCCAGCAAAGTTTTTGAATCAATCAATCAATTCTCACAGTAGTTGTCAAAATCATTCATATTTTAAACATATTTATGAGTCCGTTATGAAACCTAAAGTTTCACTGGTTAATCTTGCCTGTTGAGGAGGTTCCAGTTCCCCATCTTTCCATCTTTAGAGTTGGAGGAAACCACCAGGCTGTTCAGCTCAACATACTTAGGGAAAAAATGTTTAACCACCTCAGCCATCAATACTGCAGAGTCCAGCAGGAAAACACAATCGTTTCACAGTTAAATAAAAGCAAACTGCAGTGGACATGATGAACAGATACACCTTCACTTAGCTTGTTTTCGTTACAGGCTATGCTAATGCTAAATGTGCTAAGGGCAAATACCTCCATCGCTGAAGTCCCTCCTCAAGTTTCTCTTTGGTCTGGACAGCGGAATCTTGTCCAGCCATAACAGTAAGTTTTCTATTTCATACTCTTGAAGCGGCGACTCCATTTTATAAAAGCAAACGCGTTCACAGACGTTTAAAACGACGCAAACACAAGTTTAAATATTAGCTTAGCATACTAGGAAACAGAGTCGCTGTCGCGTTGCTAGGCAACCGCTTGACCCCGGACAGTGAGAACGACCCACAAGAAACTTGTGACGAATCTGTTTATTTCTAACAAATTAGAAAACAAAAAACAGCTGATTGAAAAGTGAAACAGAACAATAAAAAATACCTGCTTGATACATGATTACTAATTATTTAATTATTTCTAAAGAAGTATTAAAATATGTAAATTTAAATTAATATGTATCAAGCAGTACCTGTAACAACAAAATAATAAAAAATCATTAAAAAATGTACAAAGTACCAATGTTAAAGCTGCGAAGATGATTTAATAGTGATTGAGCCCACTTCTCGGTGGGAGTAATTCTGCCAGAAAGAAAAAAATATATAAAGATGACTTTTTTAAAGATGATAAGAATCATTAATAAAACAAAATAATGCAACACATCAAGAAACAAATAATACTAGTGTGTAAAACAACCATTAACAGGCCACAAAGCCACCTGTTAAACATATAAAACAGTCTTATGATGAAAAATGTGTAAAAAGAGTCTCTGAAGATGAAAAAATACCTAAGAACAGAGAGAAAAATTTGACACAAGACAAAAAAGACTAATTTGATATATAAAAGTGACCCAACAGAGTAATAAAATGACAGAAAACAATTGAGGAAAACAAGTTCCAAAAAAATCTAGTAAATACAATCTAAAAATGAATTACTGAGAGTTCCTCGGTTCTTCAGTTGCACAGCTGAAGATCTTTATAAGACAAAAAAAATTCTTTCCCACAGATCAATTTTAATAATTGACCAGTTTCTATTATTTTTTTAAATGCAGTACCACAGACTGAGAGAAGCTAACAGATAATATCATGATAGCAACAACAGTCCTTTCATTCTTGTCATCATACCAGTTTTCTTTAGATTTTGATCATGAACATCAACCCTGATTATAGTACATTCCCTGACTACACAATAATCCTAATACTCATGTTTCTGATCATTTGTTTACAACTATAAATAAATGTTGAATAAACTTTGCTGCTATGATCTTTCACAAACCAAACACATTCATATACCTGGACAGATTGTTTACAGTACTCAGATTTTCAGTACTTCAACTAGAATATTCAAGTTCTCTAAAGCAGGAAGTTGTACCTGGATGAGTGCATTCATGTAAACAAGGACATGAAACAAGACAATAAAACATTTAATTTAAAAACAAATCTAATCTCAAAGTAGAAGCAGATCTATTTGTTTTCCTGAAGGCTGACAAACAGGAAGCAGTCGTAACACAGAGAGAAAATTATGGATGGAAAACGTTTTACTGATCCCTTGGTGCGCTCTTAAAAACAGACCAACGTCTCGTGAGAGGATCGTGTTGATTCTTCAACGTGCAGCAGAAACAACGTTCTCTGTTAGAGGATCTGAGTTTGCATCATGGTGAGTCTTTGCTACTGTCATCTTGGCCTGCTGGAGGGCAGCAGGACGACTCTCCCTCCAAGCTGGAATCACAAAGAAATCCTGTTAAGACTCAGTCTGAGTGAGCTTTGTGTTTATCTCACCGTCAGAATCTCAGTCAGCAGGAGTTTATGTGCTGGTTGAGTCACCGGCTGTGAACCGCTGCTTATCCATCACACTGCTATGTTCAGTAAATGCCAACAACCACAATTTTTTTTAAAACACAAAAGCCTTTAATAAGATTCAGGAATGCCTGAATGCCAGTTGCAGCCACGTCAGCGGCTGGAAACTCTGGTTCTGTCTGAAATGATGAAACCTACCAGCTGAGTGTGTGGCGGTGCAGGCGGGACTGCAGACGGCTTCGGCTTGTTTGGAGGAACCGAAGGTTTCAGCTTCTTAGAGACAAAATGTTCAGAACTCAACCAAACGGCAAAATCAAAGAGCAGTCAGACGTGTGAATGCAAACATGAGTGTTAAGCTGCTTATGATGGTACTCACTGGTTTGGACACTAGCGGTGGCAGCGGTCTGCTGGGGGGGAGGGGCTTATTCTGAAATCATAGCAACATATTTAATACATCCTTATAAACAATAAAGGGTTTAATAAAAACCATCGTAAACATGTACCTTGTTATAAACAGCTGGTGGCTGCATTAGTGTCCTTGTGACCTAAAAATAGAAATAGATTTATAAAAATGTAAATGAAACAAAAAGTTAAATATAAATAAACACAAAACAGGAAGTGAGATTACCTGATGAATCTTTGGTGGCCGAGATGCATCTGAAGCTTTCTCTGGAGGCTTTAAAGGAATAAAACACAATATTATTATTAATGTTACTGTTTATTATCATCATCAGTTCTCACTGGAATTAGCAGCCTGAATCTCAGAAGGTGGTGTGTGTGACTGAAGGACACATGGGGGTTGTCAGTGTGAAGCTCAGCAGCGTCTCAGCAGGCCCACGCTGGCTGCAGCGATCTAAGCCAGCTGCCACAAATGGAAATCTGGTGTCTGATATAGAAGTGATGATGTAAATGTAACACATGCAGTGTGAGTGTATGATGACAGCGTGGTGTAGGGAGACTCACCTCTGGAGCTGCTCTGCAGGGCCTCAGATCTCCGTTCTTTGGTCTGACGGTAGAACAGCTCAGAGGTTTACAGGCTTGACGAGCAGATGACTCTAAAAATGTTGGCTGGCTGATGTCTGCCGACCTGAGACCGGGACTGTCTCGCCGAGTGCTCGACTGAAACGCCGGGTTTGACTGTCCTGAGGTCGCTGAAAGGAACCTGTGAAGATACGCGCAGCAGCCTCCATTAAAGATGAAGTTAGATTTAATGGCTTTGAGATGTTTAACAAGCATAAAAGTCAAGAAGCAAAGTGTGTCTGTACCTTTTAGTAGGAGGTCCTTTTCTGATGCAGCACATCAGACTCCCAATGAGCAGAACCAGCAGGATCAGCAGTCCGACCACCAGAGACACAACAAAAACCACAAGTCCTGTTTCTGCAAACACAAAAACAGAGAATGTCAGCGCTCCACCGCATTCTGGGTTCTGCTCCTCCATGTGGCAGAAAGCATCTCAAACAGATCTAACAGATGGAGATGCTGAAGCTGTCAGTGATGAAGCACCTTCAGTCAGCTCCGACTGCTTCATGTCACAGAAAGGGGGGGCCCAGCCTGGATCGCAGTGGCAGCTACTCTCATGGTTGCAAACCTGTCAGAAGATGTTGGAGTTAGTTTTGTTTCTGAGTCATGAAGAGGTTCTCAAACGTTCACACAGCTTCTCACCCCGTGGTTGTTACATTTGGAGGAGCAGTCGCTTCTTCCAAACGCTTTTATGCTTCTGATGTTTTCACACCTTTGACTGTAACAGACCTAAGAGACAGAAACATCTGAGCCTCACAGCTCCACGATGCAGGAGGGGTTTCATTGTTCTCACAGCAACAAACTCACCATGTTGTTGCCACACTTGGTGCCAGTAGGAACCATGCCCAGATCTGACGGGAAGTTGTCCTCAGGGCTCATGGTTGCAGTGTTGCAAACGACTCCACTTCCTAGTTTATAAAAGGACTTCTTAGACGTGACTGGAAACTCCCTTCCTCCAGAGCAGAAAAGTGATCCGCAGTACTCATCCCTGCAAACACACCAGACCATAAATAACAGCAAAGACTCAAGTTAGTAATGTTCTGTTGTGTTTTCTAACCAGCTGGAGCATCCTTGGCTCATATGAGTCCTTCTGCAGCCTCCATACAGATAGAAGCAAGCATCTGGAGCCACTTCAGCATCTAAACAGAACAACAACAACAACACAGTTAGAAATCTCCATGTTTCTGAATGAAAACATAAAGAAATGAAACGGTCGGTCGTGAAGATTTGACCTGGTCCCCAGAGCCTCTTGCAGTGCTCCTGCCGTGAAGGACATCGCCCGTTGTAGCAGTATCCGTTTCCACGGTTGCACGGCAGACCGTTCTGGGCGAAGGCGTCAGGAGGACAGACTGCAGAGAGGCCGGTGCAGAACTCTGTCAGGTCGCAGTCTCCGGCTTTTGGACGGCACATGCTGCCTGTTGGTTTCAGCTGAAGTGTGAGAAACACAGATGGTGATGTATCGACGGCGGAAATACATTCACTCACTCCCAAGCAGCCAGACAGAACAGTCTGTGTCTGGATACACACTTACATTATTAGTATCAGCCTGCCTCTTCTCAGCTAGTGAGTAGTAGACACAGTGAGTAGGACTTACTTGGCAGTTGTGGCAGCACTCTCCTTCTGCACACTCAGCTCCTGCTTTCAGCTGGCAGGTTGTGGCGTTGCAGCAGGGATTCTTGCACTCCTGTAAAACAGAACTGCTGTTTCACTGCTGGCTTTGCAAATGAGCTCCTGGTGAGTGTAGCAGACACGAACCTCCGCAGTGCCACAGTCACACTCCTCTCCAGGCTCTAAGAAGGCGTTTCCACACACGGGGCCCCCGTAGATGCGCTCGGTGGACGGAGAGTCCAGCAGACAGGTGGGGTTGATCTCCTCTAAGAACGAGCTGAGCTGCTGCCGGCTGCAGCTGCTGAACCGTGTGGGATAAACCAATCTAAAGGAGGAGACAGAAACAGATGAGGAAGGAAGCTGCATCGTTTGTTTAGGTTGAAGAGTTAGAGATGAGGCTGTTCAGGAGCAGGTGGTCTGATGAGCTCACCCAACACTCTCAGCCATGATGCAGCTTTCTTTGGATGGAAAGGAGCCACAGAAGCAGTCTTCAGTATCATGGGTCAAACCCAGGTTGTGACCCATCTCATGAGCGATGGTGGAGGCTACTCCTATTGAGTTGGTGTTATGGTCCTGAGGGCATCAACGAGACACGAGTGAGTCAAACGGATTCAATCATTCCTCTTTTATCACCTTTGTTCTAGTCGGTAAAACTGGGGAACCTCGTTGATCGCTCCGGAGTTAGAGGTGCACATCGCGTTGGTGTTCGCCAATCCGACGGTGGAGCCGGTAAAATCCACACCTCTGAAAGACGAGGGAGGAAAATGTTTAGATTGACTCTGACAGCTGGAACCTGTCAGTGTATTTCATGATGTGATGAAACGGCAGAACCCACGTGATGAACTGAGCGTTGTCGTGTTTGAACCTCGGCAGCAGGCGCTGCTTCCGCCACTCGAGGAAGTGAAGGAGGGTGAGGTCAGGGTCGGCTTTGACATCAATCTGGTCTTTATGGGACCAGATTTCCAGTCCAACCAGCATCACACGAACCCCCAAAGCTCGATACAACTGGAATAAAAGGAAGGGCTCGTCTATAAAGTGATTGAGAACTAGTTCATTTCTGTGTCTGATTATTAATGTCTGAAAAACACAAAGACGTGACAGAAAACCACCGCTGCTGTTCTCTTCACGTGTCTGAATCTCAAAGTATACAGAGATGATTGAGGGATAAGTGCGAATGGTTTCACGTTAGGTGTGAAGACTCACAGTTAAAGCTGTGAGAGAACTTTCCCTTCCCTTCTTTCTGCTCACATTCCAGTCAGAAAAGGTCTAAATATCAGGACTTTTTTCCTGAATGTTTTCTCACATCAAAAGAAACGTCTGATAAAGTTCAAGCCTAAAAGCCATCAGCTCTGGAGGCTTTTATCTGCCACGCTGCAGAGAAACAAACACACCTTGTCCACATGGTTTGTTATTTCAAGCACCCTGGCCTCCACCGTCTTCCTGCTGCCGAACTTCTTAAACTACAGACAGATGATTCAGATCAGGATCCAAACCAGCAGCATCTCTTTTCATCATTTTACTGCATTTAAACCAGAGAATCAGTGAGAGGAATCAAACCTCGGTGTTGTCCACCACCACCACCAGCTCCACCGTTCGGGGTTTTGCTTTAACATCGCCGGTCTGGGCTCTGCTTTTCTGTGGAGCGTAAAAAGAACTAATATCAGAAATGCTAATAAGTAAACGGTTAAAGTGTCAGAATTAGGAGTCAATATCAGACCCAAAACAGAGATGATGCACATTCAAAGACCTGGGATCATTTAGATCCTCGTTTCCTGCTGATATTTGATCTTCTGCTCAGTTTAAGACTAAATCCAAATAATCTGTGAACGTGCCGGGTCTTTACCAGACTGCCGAGCTGGAAGAGTCCAGACGGACGAGCTCCGTGGTCGTAGAAAGTGGTTGTGTTTCCATGGGAACAGGAGCTCCTCTTCCTCCTCAGGTGTTTGTAGTTGTAAACAGCATGAAGGCGGAGATCAGCTGGAGCTTCGGAGCTGTCTCTGTCATCCTGCTGCTCCTCCTGCTCCTCACCAGCAAGAGGTTCAATCAGGTACATCTGGTCTTGGAGGGTCACGACCCCGCTGTAGAGAGGAACGGGGACTTCAGAGCAGATCCGACTAAAGAAAAATGGAATCACTACAAGTTACTCACTTGATTCCTGAGCAGAGTTGGATGCTGGCAGAAGAGTCCTCCACTCCCACCACATGTCCGTGGTAGTAGCAGTGACCCTGGAAGGATGATGATCGGTTTATCCAAGTCTTTCATTCCTTCATGAGAGATTTGGTCGTTTCTAAAACATCTGAATGTTTCTCAGTAGCTTCAACAGAGGAATTGATTTCTGTAATCTCTCATGAGGAACTTCGTGGTTAAGAAACTGTGTCCTTTTATATTTTGTAATAAGTAATGAGGACGACTGCGATCAGAACAGATGATGAAACGTCTTTTACATCCGCTAATGTTGCTCTACGGAGCGTCTACATCTAATTAAATTAATGCGACCGGGTCCATCCAAAGCTACAGTACAGAGTTCACCAAACCACAAAATGAGAAAATTACTTCACTGGCCACATAAAAGGACCAGCTGTTCTATTTATGAGTCAAACTGAAGAATCTAAACATGCTAAATAGAATCAGAAGAACAAACAGAAACAAACCTTTAAGTCTGGAGTAGATGACACTTGGTGGCCTTGATCAGAATAATAAGTCACAGTGAAGTTATTTCCAACAAGATCCCTGAAAAGACAAATGTTTGTTTCTCGTTATAAATGTCAGGTTTTACAGAAGCAGTAAAACAACAGAGCTTGTTTTATAAAGGAGACAGAAACTTTTATTACTTGTTCCTTTCCAGGTGGAGAGTGTAGCTTTCCCCAGCAATCGCCACTGAGTATCGGACCACGTCTGGGTGTTCCTGTTCAGCAGAAAGTGGTTTAAGTGTCTTTTATATATTGCCTCTCAAGATAAAAATCACCAGGCTCTTCACAAGAACAATAAATTCAAAATATAAAAAAGATGAAAAAAATATGGCTAAAATTAGAAAATAAATTATGATTAAAAAATGCAAGGAAACGGAAAGAGGGACGTGTGTGTGTGTGTGTGTGTGTGTGTGTGTGTGTGTGTGTGTGTGTGTGTGTGTGTGTGTGTGTGTGTGTGTGTGTGTGTTACCTTGTATGTAGCAGCATCATCCAAACGAGAATCCATCAGTTTCACTGGAATCACTTTTTGGTATTTTAGTACATGAGGAAGATTCTTCACATCACCCAGAGTTAGACCTGCAAGAACCAGGAATTATTACAGAAAAGAAAGAAAGAAAGAAAGAAATAAAGAAAGAAATAAAGAAAGAAAGAAAGAAAGTCTAACCCCATAAAGAAAAGCAAATCCATATAAAATATCCAGTGTGTGACATGTTGCTCTGCCGGACGGATTCTGTCTTTGTGAGTTCCACGACTCAAATGGAAATATCTTCAGCTCTCCGCCCATCTGCTGTAACATCCTGGCCATTCTCATCTGAAGCTGACTAACTAACTAGGCCAGAGGTAATTTCTTTAATAATGACTCATAGTGTTCTATGTGAGCATGAAAATATTTCTGGTCTCTTCTGGGCCACAGAAATTAGTTTACCTACTGTTAACAAATAGCTGTTGCAACCACAGTGGTGGTGACCGCACTGGTGATCTCAGAGCTGGACCCTTTCACAGGCTTTTTGTCGCCATCTAGTGGTGCAAGAACAGGAATTTTGAAAACATTTCACATTAGATTCTGATTAAAACTGCTGGAAACCCTAATTTAATCTGCAAATAATTTATGCCAATTAAGGATTTATAATTTGTCTGTTATTGCACATTATTTATGGTTTTATTAATAGTGACTTGAATCGTACAGTCAGATAGATGTATTGGACACTGTATGAATATACTTTATGGATGCTGATCGGTACCAGTAGATGGCGGTGGACCGCCATGTTGGAAGCGGGTGCGATTTGATTGCGTCACAATACTGCGCCAAAATCTGACAAAAACAAACAGACAGCTCACTTTTACGTTTTGAAACAATCAAAGGTTGTTAAAGGTGTGTAGGCGATGCTGCAACCAGACTTTCACCTGCTTTTAGAGGCAGACGTGTGCTGCTCCAAAAGATCCAGATGACAATCTTCATCATCCTCACCCAAACATGGCCCTGCTCATTTGTTCCTCAGTTATTAGAAGTACAAAATTCTAATGCACAAAATAAAGGGTAATAAATCTTAAAAGTTGAAAGACCACCTGATAAGAATCACGATTAAATCTTTATTTTGAACATGTAACGAATAAAAAAAATTCTAAAGTGTCAACAGGAAAATAATAAATATAAATAATAGGACTGTAAAATTAAGATATTCCATTCAAGCCAGAAAATAATTGCATAGTCGGTTTGAGAAGGAGAACAAAAAATCTGATGCTTATTTATTCCTGGACATTCAGTACTTAAATAGGTATACAATTAAATTGTTCTCCATGTCACAATTACCCATCCCATGCACCAAATGAAGCTCAGAGGACAGTACAGCTACGCAGCAGTGCTCTATCGCTCAAAACTCTGTTACACCCATTAATGTTGGATTTTTTCATTTGACCATTTTAATGCCATTTTAAGATTGAATTATATGCATTTCAAGATCTCGTCCATGCTGTTCCACAAACTCACTCCACAGATCTCTATGGGCTTTTTGCTGGTTGGTGTATTTGCTTTACGTTTGCTAAAATTGAGCTGTCCCCTGATTTTGTAACCACACTTTCTTTTTTCTTCCCCCCAGAGCAAGTGTTTTAATATTTCTAGTAAATGGTGTCTTGCTTTGTACATTTTTGGCCAAGTTTTTTATTTTACAGGATTAAATTAATTTTTTCTATTCTATATATGATTTTTGGTAATGTTTTCTAAGGACCCATAAACATTTAGGATTTCAAAGTTTATCCACCAGGTGGCGCCAAAGAGCCTTTCTGTTTTATCGAATGTTGCATACTTTTGTGTTTCCGTTATAATATCTGTCAAGTGTGCTTTATTTAAATCGGTATAAAACCTGTAAGAAACTTGATTGTAAAATGCTGTGTTTCTTTTTATACAATCAGAGATGCAAAGAAACAGCAGTAGGACACATGATCAGGTAGGTGATGTCTGTGAGACCAGGTGTGTGTGTGTGAGATTATGCTGTCAGATGCTGCTACAGCTCAGGATAAAAACACAAATAAAACCAGATACGTTCAGATTTTAAGACTTTAAAGAGCAAGCCATCCCTCACCAGAGTCTTACTCCACTCCCACTTCCCGGTTGAAAAATGCACCAAATGCTGATGCCTGCAAAACGAGAGGGCGAAGTCACTAACAAATACACACAAACAGGCTCACAACGACATTGTGACGCCATAATGTACCGGCTAACGTCATTGTGTACCTCTCAGCCAATAGCGATGGCAGATTTAAAATCAAATGCAGTGACCACAGCACAACACTGACAGTTTTATGGAGAATATTTAAATTTGAACTAAGATGCACTAAAGTGCCAAATTATTGACTACACATGTCTACAGCATGATTAGACACTCATTTACATAGTTTATTAGAGAAAATAAGTTAATTTGGGGGTGACTTGCTCTTTAAGAATAAATGTTGGCTGAGATGTTTGGTTGAAAACACCAGAGTCCTGGTTTCTTACAGTAAATATTTTCTCATGAACATGTCTAAAAATTGATTAATCTTCTCACATAGATTAATTTGTAATTGAAATATGTGTTCAGACATTTGGGCAGTTGAGTTGGGGTTGTTTTCATGGTGTGCTTAAGTAACAGCTCAGTCTGTGGTTTCAAGAACGCAGAGACAGGAGAAAACTCTGAGACAGAGCTTTATGCTCTCACACTGTGCATTGATAAAAATAATGATTACATTTACTTTGCAAAAAAGTTTTTGTCAAGTAGCCATTCATTGGAATTTATGGTTAGGAATGTTTGAAGTCCAGGCAAGGAGAAATTTGCTAATATTTTTTCAGTCTTGAATTATAAACTTCACATTATTTAAAAGATTCTTGTCAGTTTAACCATTTTAAGCAATAAAAATATAAAACAAAAATAGAAATTTACTTTTTGTTTCAAAACTGCTTTAATAACTATACTGTTAAAACGTTTAACAGTAGAATAGATTTCTGGTGGATTATTGTTTCTGAAATGTAGAGATTTATTAACAAAATATGAAGAATTGTTTACATCGATAACAACTACAGAACTTTTTTAATAGTCTAAATGCTCCCCTTAAAGGGCAGCATCAAATAAATCCTTTTATTAATCTTAAACATTTAGTCAGATTGTAGATTGTGTCCAACTAAAGTCCAAAACTCTTTATTTTTTAAGGAAAACGTTTAGGGCAATTAGAGGATCAAAGCACAGATGAATAAGGTGAAGTTATTTATATTATTTTTATGTTATTTGTCATGCATCCCTTAATTGTCTACTTTCAACGTGGCATTTTATTATGTTAAAATTCAATTAATGCAATACTTATTTAGTTTTTTTTATTTTCAAAGATAATTCTTGTTTTTTTTTATTTGAGGTCCCTTTAAATCCGAAGAAGCTAAATAAATAAATAAAAATCAGTCACACAAAACAAGAGCTTGTTGTTTTCCATGATTTTGTGAATCACTTCACTTGTTTAAATAGTCATAAAACAAAAATTAAAACTTATGGAAACCGCAGTTGAAACAGAAAACGTGCAACTTTTGAAAATTGTGACGGAAATATTTGTGTCTTTAATAAAAAATACTTTTACTTAATCGACTGCAGAATATATCTAAATAAAAATTAAACTCTGGAGTAAATTTTATGAAAATATTATTGGAAAACGTGTGTTTCTTGCTTATTTTTCTCAAACGAATGTATTAAAATAATTCTGATTGCTCTCTGTGTACAAATATGATCACATATTAAGCCTTATAGAAAAAACATGAATTGTAAAACAAAAATGTAAGAATATGTTCAAAGGGGCATTTTGTTTCCAATCTGTTAATAAAATAAACACGTAACAGTGCGTTTCGACTGCTTCATCGATGCAGTTCATAGTAAGAGAGTTAAGATAAATAGTACATCCCATAAGGTCTGTAGAGTCCCGGTAAGGCCAGCCGTGGTCCATTCAGAGCTCCATAAAGAGTCGGTGCGCTCATGGGTGCGCTCAGCGGGAAAGGCAAGGCAAAGGACGGGAGCAGCGGCTTAGAGGCCAGTTTGATCTTCTCCAGCTCGGCCTCCTGCAGTCTTTTGGCCTTGGCTCTGCGGTTCTGGAACCAGATCTTGACCTGGGTCTCTGTGAGGTTCAGGGAGGTGGAGAACTCGGCTCGCTCCGCGATGGAGAGGTACTGTTTCTGACGGAACTTTCTCTCCAGGGAAAGCAGCTGGGAGGTGGTGAAGGGTGTTCTGGGTTTCCTGTTGTTCTTGTGTTTCCGCAGGTTGCACGGAGTGGGACTGGGGAGTCCTGCATGGGAGATTCACACATCACCAGAATAATTAGGCTTTGGAAGAAAAAAGAACTATGTGCACAAATAAAACTTTTCAAAATTTTAACAAAATATGAGCGCTGGAAAATTGAAACTAAATTTATTCTGGAAAAAATATATAAATAAAAAACTCCTGAAACATATTCTCAAATTTGTAAGATTTCTGACGTGAATTGTTTTATAAAAGAGCCTCCCACTCACTTGAATGTGACGCATCCTGAAGCGAGGGTCTGGTCTCATCACTAAGGTCCACCGCCTCCACCTGAGATCCAGTAACTCCCCTCGGTGACGCACTCTCGCTCTCCTCCGTCCCGTCGCAGCTTGAGCCGGGCTCTGGGGAGTGGATGCTCCTCTTCTGTGGATGTCTGTCCGATATGATGAATTCCACGCTGAAAGGCAGATCCAACGTTTGGCTTTTACATCTTCTAGCAGATGACATGTCCAGCTGGTTAGCTCCAACTTCAGCAGAGTCTCTGTCCTCTCCAGGAGCAGCCGAGGCCGGGGATCCCTGCGCAGGATTCATTACGCACGACAGCGGTGCCATGCAAACAGTCAACTTTGCGCTCTCCCCGCTGCTGATTATTTTGTTGCGTTTTCTTGATGGAAAAATGTTTTCAGCGAGCAGAAGGTGAACCAGATGCTGCGCAACGGCAGGTCAAGCGCTTGGTTTTACGCACGGGGCTTGTTTCTGCTTTGCTCAAGTGCCACGAGTTCTCATTTCATCTTTCCGCCTACCAATCAGACGTTTGACGTTTCCACGTGACTCAGCTGATGTGGATTCTGATAGGCCAGATGTCAGAGTTGGGGTTAATTTGGTGTTTCTGGTTCTTGACAGGCGTAAACTACTCACATGGAAATGTGTCATCCCGAACGGTTGGATGTGGACCACAACTTTCTGATTTTACGGACTTTTAAAAAGATTGTTAATTTTTAAGCTGCGGAAAGTTTTTGTTACTGAAAAAGTTTTAGCATTTTAAATCTTTGATGTCTGCAATAAAAAATTTTAAAATGACTATTATGTGTTCCTTTGTCATTTATATAAGTTATATAATATAATATAATATAAGATGTAAATGTTGTTCCATGACTTCAAAGAGTGTAAATAAGCATCTTAATGATTTGAACATGTGACTTTAGGAAAGTAACTTAAATTAGGAATAATTCTCAAAGGTACAAAAAAACCAAATCACAATTTTTACTTTGACAAATGCTATTCATTCCATCCATTCTCTTCCTCTTATCTGGGGTCGGGTCGTGGGGGCAGCAGCCTAAACAGAGAGGCCCAGACTTCCCTCTCCCCAGCCACTTGGGCCAGCTCCTCCGGGGGAATTCCAAGGTGTTCCATGGCCAGCGGAGAAACAAAGTCCCTCCAGTGTGTCCTGGGTCTTCCCTTGGATCTTCTCCCGGTTTGACGATGCTTGGAAAACCTCACCAGGGAGGTGTCCAGGAGGCATCCTGACCAGATGCCTGAGCCACCTCAACTGGCTCCTTTCGGAGCAGCGGGTCTACTCAGAGCCCCTCCCAGATGACCTAGCTTCTCACCCTATCTCTAAAGGTGAGCGCAGCTACCCTGTGGAGAAAACTCATTTTGGCTGCTTGTATCTGTGATCTCATTCTTGTGGTCACTACCCAACACTTGTGACCAGGTGAGAGTTGGAAAGTAGCTCAACTGGTAAATCGAGAGCTTCACATTCCAGCTCAGCTCTCTCTTCAGCACGACAGGCCCGTACAACGCCCACATCACTGCAGACGCAGCACCAATCCACCTACTGATCTTCTGATTGATAAATGACAGTATTCTTGAAAATAAAATTCAGATTATAGTAAAATGGGTGTTATTTATCTGACTTGTTACAGCTCCGCAGGTTCTCCAAACCGTTTAATAAAATATGAAACTGAGCAACTTTTCATCACAGCCTATAATTATCCTTCAGTGTTCCCAACAATAAATTCTCAGTTTAATGCAATCCTGACGCTGCTTGTTTATAATAGTCCTCCATCTTTAAAAGTTACCATTAAGGACAAGCGAAACAATAGTGTTATTGCTGTGTTTCATGAAAGTGGTGCACTGTGATTTATTACACCCTTTGGAGCCCTGAGAATTATTATGACTGTAAATTTAGTGTCTTGTGGCCTGTAATCCAATTGTCTACGGCTATATTTCATCCTGTCACACGCATTGTCTGCAGCCCCTTCGAGGGCCCATTGAAGAGGCTCGTCCCAATCGGTTTTATTCAGCAGCTCTTCTAATTACGTCGAATCATTTCTGCTGAAACCAAATATGTGAGTACTTTTCTCTGCTGCATGGGCCTGAAGCAGCACCCGGACTCCCCGTCTGTCTCTCCGGTTTAAATGGAGTTAACCGTTTCTCTGAGGTATGTTCCTGCTTTGATCCTGCTGAGCCTGGCGCCTGTCTGCTCTGCCCGCCCCTCTCCCTCTCTGTGTGACAGTGATAGATTGCTGGTAGCCATACAAGCTTTCAGCGACTGTAATTTAGTGCAACACTACATTCGCCTCTACTTACTGCCAATATTACAACCCTCAGTCTGTGTCTGTTTGAAAGGAGAGGCTGTAATCTTTTGTTTGTCTCTTTTTCTCAAGTAATAAAGAAGTTCAAATGTATGATTTAATGCTTTTATGCGAGAAAAGTCATACTGGAGAATTCTGTCCATTTAAGGAGCATTTCTGTGTAAACAGCTACTGTTTTTCTTCCTTTAAAACGATTCTTTCCTTGTAAATCTTGACATAAATCACAAGATAAGTCTGGACAATGGCACAAAACCTTGAAAATAACTCTCCAACTTCTCCTTCGTTGGCAGAAAGTTACCCTCACATTTCTTAAACTGGCGTTTTGCCCTAAAGGAGAATTGTTTAAGAGTTAATTGTGGTTTTTGAAAATGCTTTTTCTTTCCAACAAGTCGTGCTGAAACAGGCTCGACATAATGCATGCTTTGTAAATCGTTGTCCTTCATGGGAGCTAGCAGATCTCACAGCTGTCCCGAGTAAACCTTTAGGAATGGGGCCGGAGTTGTGCAGGAGAGTAAACTTCAATGAAACTCACAGCGGGGAGCTGATGGTGGTGAAAGTGTATCGTCTTTAAAGAAGACAGGAGGCCAGTCTGGTGAAGCAGAACAGGACGTTGGTGTCTCTGGATCAACATGTCTGTGAACGTAAAATCACAAACTTCATTAAACCAAGGAGTCGTCTGTGGTGAAAATAACCGAGGTATTCCCCGTGTAAACTGGAATGATGGATGTTGGTGCTTTGAATAAATAACAGAACTCACATGTTCACTTGGCTTCAGTCAGGCCCAGTTGTGCCAACCAACCAAAGAGGCCGTAGAGGACCCGAGGTCCTCCATCTTCTCATCTGATTTGAAGTTAAAGTCAATTTCATGACATGTTTCATCTAAGGATGCACAATATATCTGCATCAATATCGGTATCGGCCAGTGTTAGTTATTTTTTAACATATTGTTTTGGCCTGATAAATAAAACTGGACCGGCATTGACAACCAATATTTTTTCCATCTTGTTTGTATTCGTTTATCTGTTTCAGAGGGTGGTGGTGGTGGTGGGGTGGGGTGGGTGATGAGTATTTGTTTAGTCATGTGACACTGATTGTAATCATCTCAGAAATGTAAATGTGTGTGTTGTGTGTACATAATAATGTAAATTCAGTTTTAATCATTTTTATTCTAATCTGCTGATTTTAGAAGCATTAATATCAGTATATTGGTATCGGTATGGTTTTATCAATATCGGAATCGGTTCTAAAGTTTTGTATCGGTGCATCACTGGTTTCATCTTTGCCACTTTGTCCTGATAGCTCCAACTCTCTTTGTCTTTGTTTCAACTTAAATGCAATGAAAACATTAGAACAGCATTTAACGGTGTAGAACACTTGTTTAATTACTACACCTGCAGTGGTTTCTGGTACGAATGAATGCCTTGCAAGTCAAACTCAGGGGGGGAAAGCCCAGAAGAACCTGGATCAGCATAGAAAAGTCTGCTGCAGCAGAGTGGCACAACACAACAGAATTTGGAGTCTTATTTCCTGATGTGTGGACATCTAGCTTCTGATTGGATAATGGCAATGTGACTTTACTACTAGGTCTGTTTGCTCTGCAACATGGATGTTTTATCCCCACAAATAACACAAAACTGGAGGAGCTTCTGCTGTGTGACTGAGTTGCTAATGCTAACAGTTAGCTTTTGCTAGTCATGACGTTTTCTGCCATTTCCTGGATGCTAAACCAACACAGGGCTGCCAACTCTCATGCATTGAGCACGAGACACGCACATTTGACCCTCTTCACACGCCCCACACCATAGGTCATATATCTCATGCTGAAGAATACCCCCCCCCCTTTTTTTTTTTTGTTGAAAAGTTCAAAAGTTGGCAGCCCAGCCGCCTTCCCCATCATGGGTCAAGATGGGTGAGTCCATGAATGTTAAGTGACAGTGTGACGTAGATCTGTCAGGTTTTCAAATCCCAGAGTTTCACTGTCTATTTTCTATTAGAAGCTAATGCTGGAGAAAGGTGTAGGAGACTATTTTCATGTTCAGCCTGCGTGAAAAACAGAGTGGCTGTGATGTGTCGACCGCAAACGAAATGGCTCTTAGAGTCAGCTCGTTGAAGTGACCAACCGGAGCCGTTTCCCTCTTGGAGGAGCCAGAGTGAGTGAGTGACACCCGCACCCTTAATCCTACATCAAGCTGCTGCAAAACAGCAAAGATGTACACACACACGCAGCGTGTCTCTGATTGTTGCGAGACGGGAGGAGGAAAGACAAATAAACAGTGCTATAGGGAAGGCCACGAGTAAAACCAGGACAGGCAGCAAGATTTGGACACGTTTTAACTACAATGACAAATCAAAGGCAGAGGGTGGGATAGGTAAAGGGGAAAAAAATTCTGAAGGCAATAATAGTTCGAAGTTGATAAATATTTTGTTTACAGTTTATCTTTGTAATTTAAAATGTGGTTTTGTGGCTCTCTGCTTCACGTTAAACAAAATAAGTTATTTAAATAATAAACCTTTGACATAACACATATGTGTAGATTCAGTTTACACACAGTTATGCATAATTTCTGGTGATGAATCAATTTAAGAAACAAAAAATTTGAGGAGCCGGTTGATTGTAGTGAGCCAAGCCAGAAGAACCGGTTCTCTTAAAAGAGCCGGAGTTCCCATCGCTACAGAGCGACTGATTTCAATCAGAATTAATCATTAAAAATGGTTCCACACATTTAACAGGAAGTTAGAGTATAACCTGACTCAAGTTTTTAGTGTGCTTCACACCAGTTTACTGAACCAGGTTAGTCCTCTGAAAGCATTGAAAATCTGTTAGTTTTAAACAGTGTTTCATATCAACTTTTACTGCCTTAGTTATAGTCGTCCAACACTAAATAATTCTTGGTTAGCCTTTTAATTTACTCACAGAATTGAGTTTCTGTTATTTTTTTTAACTTTTAGTAATCAATGGTTTTCTGTAGTTCATTGTAGCAGTTTCACCGCTTTAGTTTTGGTCTGCCTCAATACTCCAAGTGTTAGTAATTCAAAGCATTGAAATACTGTTAGTTTTAAACAGTGTTTTTCTGTAGTTCATTGTAGTTTATACTGCCTTAGTTCTGTTTCCTGATGCCTTCAGCTTAATCTTTGTTTTCACTTATTTAGTAAATCCTGGCTGATCACATTTAGTTATCTTCGCAATTTTTCTTGATGTTATGTTAGTCTTCTAGTTTTATTATATGTTGTTCATTTTTGTGTTTGATTGTCTGTTCTTACTGCTGTAAAGCACACTGAGTTGCCTTTGTGTAGGAAATGTGCTATATAAATGACTCCGTCTATTCTATTCTATTCTATTCTGTTCTGACTTTTTGTATCCATATTTAAAAGGAAATTGCATATCTGTGAGACGGGGCCAACTACAGCCTGTAACAAGCCGCGTTGAAGCTTCATTTACTCAGAGTGCTGAACGGATGCGGATCAGAAACCGT